ATGTGTATTATCACCAAAAAAAAAGGTTGAGAAGTTAGAGGGTTGACATGTTGTGGGGTTGTTAACCAATGTCATAAAACAATATGTGTACTACTGTTTTATGAGAAACTATTCGTTCTGTAAGCCTTCACCTCAAGTATAATAAAGAAAAAAAAATTCTTAGGACATGTGCAAAACAGATTTAAACTGCAGGATCTATCAAGGATTCCCAGAATCTATATATCTTCTGCTAATTCAAGACTATTTTACAAAGTATCCTGGCCTCCTCCTGTTCATGGTATCATCTTAATGTCAAGCAGGGGGCTTTTGTTATGAAGAGCCATTTCACTTACAGGAAGCCCTGAAAATAGCTTCAGTACATCCGGTACACCATCCCTTACTTACATTATAAAAACATCTGCTGTTCGATTACCATAAGATGTAATGCTTCACACTGCCCTGCTCGCATGGTGTTCTTTGACTCCTGTGTGTACAGCTGAGAGTCACTGAATCTCTGCTGTATCTGAAATCTAGACATGAATGAATGGCACCTTCTATGGAATCAGGTGAAATTCCAAGATCTTATTAATATTACTGTTCATTCTCACCAGCTGACTGTCTCGACTTTAATCAACATTTATTGAGCCACGTACTGTGCTAGGTACTGTCATGGATTGAATTGTGTTCCCCAAAAAACCTGTGTATCAACTTGGCTAGGTCATGATTCCCAGTATTGTATGATGGTGTAATCTGATGTGATATCCTTATGTGTTGTAAACTCTATCACTATGATGAGGTTATATATGATTTCCTTATATGTTGCAAACTCTATCACTATGATGAGGTTATACTGATGAGGTCTACAAGATTCGATAGTGTCTTAATCCAATCTTTTTTGAGACATAAAAGAGAGAAGTGAAAAGAGACCCATGGGAGCCTCATACCATCAAGAAAGCAGTGCCGGGAGCAGAGCGCATCCTTTGGACCTGAGGTTCCTGTGCAGAGAAGCTCCCAGACCAAGGGAAGACTGATGCATCACAAGGACCTTTCTCCAGAGCCAACGGAGAGAGAGGGCTTTCTCCTGGAGCTGAAGCCCTGAATTTGAACTTGTAGTCTACTGGACTGTGAGAGAATAAACTTCTCTTTGTTAAAAGCCATCCACTTGTGGTATTTCTGTTAGAGCAGCACTAGATGACCAAGACAGGTACCAAAGCAGTTGCCATTTACTGGATTCTGTCTCAATGGAAACCTCATGTATGTCAGGGTAGAACTGCACTCCATAGGGTTTTCAATGGCTGTGACCTTTCAGAAGTAGATCACCAAGACTTTCTTCCATGGCACCTCTGGGTAGACTCAAACTGCCAACCTTTCGGTTAGTAGCCAAGCATGATAACTGTCTGTACCACCCAGGGACACGCTAGGTACAAGGGCTACAAAAACAAATTATACATGGCCCTTGCCCTTGAGTAGCTTAAAATTTGAAATGTTAAATCAGTGAATGTAAAAATCAAGGTCTAGTATGGAAAATGTCCTTGGCTACTACTGGGTGAATGTCCTAAATGTCCTAGTACTTTAAGAACGTCAAGGGTCATCTCATCCTATAAAGATTATATTTGCTTTCTCTGCCCTCCGCTCTATGCACAGAAACCCACTCTGATTAGCATGAATCTCCCTGCCATTCCTTTCCCTACATCCACAGACTTCATCCACGATCTCAAATTTTTTACCTTTAACGTGCTATTCAGGGTTCGGATTTTGTGGAGCTTCTCATTTATGGATGGATTTTTGCACCGCTTAACGAAGGATTTTCTCAATTCCTTTTTGGTTGAAGGTCGTCTGTCCCCAAGAGGAGATAAACTTGCTTGCTCTAAGGATTTGTAGAGCTTCTCCATTTCATCATCTTCTGACACTTTTATTTCTTCTATAAAGAAAAACAATAATGATAAATCCAGTTAGAGTCCAGGAGAATATTAGACACTAAGTGGCAGATCCTGGGAAGGGAATTCAAAATCAGATCTTGAAACACAGCATTTCCAGATTTCATCCATTCAGTCATTTATTCATTCATTGCCCAAAAAGAGCTCCCATGCCTACTATGTGCCACACTATTGACTTAAGATAGGTTTTTTTCCTTAGATGTCGCTTAGAATATTCTTTGTTAGTGAGTTTCATTAGCTAGGTTAGCTCAGCTTAGAGCTTTATTGATGGTTTTCTTAAAGTGGAAAATGTTATGAATGTAACTGAGAAATGAAGGACAGCCATTTTGATTTAACCACCCAGTAACTCATACTGACATTTTTAACATTGTCAACAAATATAATAAAGTAAGTGAAAAAGTAAATGAAAGAAGGTAAGTCTCAAGAAATTGAGATTCCTATGCCTGCATTATGGAGCCCTGGTGGCGCAGTAGTTAAGAGCTCGGCTGCTAACCAACAGGTTGCCAGTTCGAATCCACCAGCCACTCCTTGGGAACCCTATGGGGCAGTACTACTCTGTCTTACAGGGTCGCTATAAGTCAGAACTGACTCGATGGCAACAGGTTTGGTTTTTGGTTTTGGTACAACAGTAGTAAAGCACTTGGCTGCTAACTGAAAGACTGGTGGTTCAAATCCACCAGCAGTTTCACAGGACAAACATGTGGCAATCTGCTTCTGTAAGGGGTCGCTATGAATTAGAATCAACTTGACATCAATGGGTTTGGCTTTTGATTTTTATGCTTGGATTGGGGAGTATATGGAGATCAACAATTTTTAATCTCCGCTATTACTTCAATAAGAAGAAATAGACTTAAAATGGAAAGTAGCTATCTATATTGCCAAACAGGACGAACACACTGTGAAGGAAACTGTTGTCATCATGATCTTCTATGAAGAGCCTTAAAGCATAGCAGCGCATTTCTAGACACATAATTTACAATCACATTCATATTGATTGGTTAATAGGTTTTTATCTTTCTGGGATGGTTGCTGTCTAAATAAAATAAAAAGACTCCCTAGATCAATGATCTGAAGTATGTTCCCCCAACAAGCAGCATTAGCATTACCTGGGAACTTGGTAGAAATGTCCCACACCAGGACAATCAAATCAGAAATCCTTGGGGTGAGCCCAGAAATCTTTGTTTTAAAAGGGTGATTCTGATGCACCCTAAAGTTTGAGAACCACTGCCCTCGCCGACTGTTTAATGTTCCTCTCAGAACTGCCCTTTGAGAGAAGACGCCTGTCTGTGGGCTGTGGCTTTGAGCAGATAGTGATCATTCCTCATTTTGCCACACAGCCTCCACTTCCCTTCCTAACCATGCCTTTCCAGCCAGTCTCAGCCCACATGCTTCAAGAGAAGCTGAGTTCACCCTGGGATCCAGGGAACCACATGTCTTAGACTCAGCCAATGGTTATTGCATCGTGCTGGCCAGTCATGGATTCAGGAGTGAGCATGTGTCTCAGGTCAAGCCAATCAAGGCCAGGAGACTCAATTCCGGGACTTTGGTGGAGTATTAGGGAAGCGATCTCTCTTCTTTCCTGAACTGAGTGTTGTAATGATGTTAACTGGAAGCTTCTAGGAATCAATTCAAGAATCATGAGAATGGAGCCGATCCATAGGACACTGAGCTGAAACATGAATCTCGGTGATACAGTTGGAGTCCTCTCAGTTTAGGGGAGCCAATATGTTGCCTTTGTTAAGCCACACTGGTCTGGTTTTCAATCATATACAGCTGAAAGGACCTCAAATGATACCGAGACTACCCTAAGATAACCTTCATCTTTTGATGTTGCTTTAATTCCTCACTTAGAACTTCAGTATTTTATTCCTTCATTCTCTGAAAATAATCTTGGGAAACATACACAATAAGATTTCTTTTTCCATCTTGTACTCTTTAGGGTCTATGTGTTTCATTTCCCTTCCTGAGAAGAAGCTTGATAGAAGGACATGTAAATAATATGGCATTGCCTCCATGAACAACTGCCTCCTTTGCCATGAGACCAGAAGAACTGGATGGTGTCCAGCTATCATTACTAAGAGATTTTTATCAAAGATTCTATAGAAGAATCCTGATCAAAAGGGGGAATGCAGAAAATGATTTCAAATTCTAGTGGAATCCAAACTTTCTGGAGCCACTGAAGCTGGATAAACCTCTGAAACTACTGCCCTGAGATAACCTTTAAACTTTAAACCAAAAATATCCCCTGAAGTCTTGTTCAAACAATAGTTGAACTTAATTAGTAAAGCATGTTGTCCTTGAGCATTGTGCTCTTTTAAAGAACTATCTGTATGGAATCAAACTGACAACAGCAACTTGTAAGGTTAGATAGGAAGTTTAGGGGGCAGTGAGTTTATATTAAATGGGGGAGGAACATTCAGAAAAGGAGTGTGAGAATGGTTATACAACTTGAACAATGAAATCAATGTCAGTAAATTGTACGTGTAGAAATGGTTGAATTCGTGTATGTTCTGCTGTGTACAGTTTAAACAACAAAAAATAGGATAAATTATTTTTTAAAAAAGTATGACATTAGGGGGAACTGGAAATAAATAGCCTCCCCAAAAAGGAAAGGAAAGCATATAATGGTAATCTAGGTACAGGGTCGCTGTGAGTCAGAATTGACTCAACAGCAATGGGTTTACGAGCATACTTTACAGTTTACTTCACTAAGACTGGAAACCTTAAGCAAGAATTAGTTTTCCTCCATCTATCCCCAGAAAGTCACCACAAGCATTACCAAGATCTCCTCATAAAATGAAGAGCAAAGATGTTGGACTAACTTGTAATTGATTTAAATAAAGTATTGATCAACACAATTTCTTTGTTCTCTAACAAAATAGTCTCAAAAAAGGGAGGAAAATATTCAAAATTACATCTGAACACAATTACACTTTTTGGCTCAAGCTGCGTGCAGACATCAAGAGTGGAATTTTGTCAATAAGCACATGAAAAGATGCTCAACGTTATAAATTATTAAGTAAACGCAAATCAAAACCACAATGAGATACCACTTCACACTCAAAGGACGGCTAAAATCAAAAAGACAGACAATAACCAGTGTTGGCAAGGATGTAGAAAAATTGGAATGCAAAATGGAGCAATCACTGTGTAAAGCAGTCTGGTGGTTCCTCAAAATACTAAATATAGTTGCCATATGACCCAGCAATTCCACTCCTAGATATATATCCAGGAGATTTGGAAACATATAGTCACACAAATATGTATACACAAATGTTCATAGAAGCATTATTCATAATAGACAAAAGGTGGAAAAAACCTAAATGTCCAACAACTGATATGTGGATAAACAAAATGTAGTATATCCATACAATGGGATATTATTCAGTAATTAAAAGAAATTAAGTACTGACACATTCTACAACATGAATGAGCTTGAAAATATTATGCTAAGTGAAAGAAGCCAGTCACAAAAGACCACATATAGTGTCATTTCATTTATACAAAATGTCCAGAATGGGCAAATTCATAGAGACAGAAAGTCGATTAGTGGTTTCCCGGGACTGGGGCAGGAAGAGCAGGAATATGGAATGACAGCTAATGGCCTTGAAAATGTCTCAGAGTGTGGTGATGGTTGCACAACTCTGTGAATATATTAAAAACTACTGAACTGTACACTTTTATATGCCAATTTTATGGTATGTGAAATATATCTTAACAACGCTTTCAAAATAAGTGGACTTGAATACAATTGTCATTATAATTGATGGTACTTACACAGCAGTAATAGTAGGCAAAAGTCATGGCAATAATTCTCAGATTAAAATGGAGACATCAGAAAGTCTTAAGACAGTTAAAGGAAAGACACCCGGATCTTAGAGGTGACATCAGGATGGAAGACTGGTAGTTTTCAGAAATGCAAAGACACTTTCATTTTACATGTTTTTATAGCTACCCAGGTAGGACTATACTTTGAATAACATCTAAACATATAGCTTTCAACATCACGGTATTTTTAACAGAAATAATGTATTCTTAACAAGCTGCAAGAAGCAAAGCAAACAAATATTTAACAAAGAAAATAGAATGGTTTCTCCAAATTCCTGTGTTCACCAAGAAGCTCCGCTGTGCTACAAAACATTGTAATTAGAAAGTAATGTTATTTTTTAATAATACGTTAGTTTGTAATTATGTCAGAGTAAAAATGATGATATTAAGATCATGCATCTTACTTGATAAATATTAAATTAAGAAAGATAAAAATAATTTTAGAATCTTGGAATGATTTGGAATAAAGTACATGCTGTAAATGAAAAACAACAGGACTCCCTTTTAGTATAATTTTAATATTATTTAATATACAATATACTTACATGGGAATATAGTATCTTTATGTTAAAAAAATCGAAGAGTATCCTTCCCGCTACCATTCCTTTCCCTAACTTCTTAAACTTCCAGGAATTAGCCATCAGGATATTTAATGATTCTTACAAATCTGTATTTCTGAGTCAGGATTTTCAAGATTTTATTTATATATGTGTGTCTATGTGTGTATATGTATATGCATGTATGTATATAGATATAGCATATGCATAGAATATACATAATACAGGTAGCATAATACATAGTATATATTTAATACATATTAAAACCCATTGCTGTCGAGTCAATTCCAACCATAGCAACCCTAGAGGATGGAGTAGAACTGCCCCACAGTGTTTCTAAGGAGTGGCTGGTGGATTCGAACTGCTGATCTTTTTGGTTAGCAGTCATAGCTCTTAACCACTGCACCACCAGGGCTCCTTAATACATACATATACATACACACACACACACACACACACATACATATAACTTGATCTTCCAAGAAACAGTGAAATTTTAAAATTAACACACAAGGAAAAGTGGACCTGTTGGAATTACTAAAAGCTAATTCAACTAAAATATGACCAAATAATATTCAAACAAATGAATACTCTCGATT